CAGCACCTCAGACTGAGGAAGTCTCTTGGATGAGAGACGAAACGTTTATATATTTTTTTGCTTTGTTTTGTTTTGTTTTTTTGAACGTCCAGAGGACCAGATTGAACTTTTTGGGATTTTTCTACCTGGATTATTGAGCATGCATCAGGATACTTTTAAGTAACTCTTTATACACATTAACAAACCTTTTGAAACCTTAATAAACCTCCTAAATAAACCTTTATAAACCTTTTGAATAAACCTTAATAAACTTTTATAAACCTTAAACATTTAAAACAAACTGTTATAAACCTTAATAAACCATTTAAATAAAACCTTTATAAACCTTTTAAATAAACCTTAATAAACTTTTATAAACCTTAAACATTTAAAACAAACTGTCATAAACCTTAATAAACCATTTAAATAAAACCTTTATAAACCTTTTAAATAAACCTTAATAAACCTTTTAAACAAAACCTTTTAGTTTTGCTTTATGAAATTATTTTTGGAGAATGATTTGTGCATTTGAAAGAATAAATTCAGACTAGATTCCTTAGAGCAGGAAAAACAATATTTACATATTTGTCGTTTGAAGACGCAGCAGCCCACTGTGCTCTTTGCCACCTTCAGACTAGCCATTAGCTCATCACTGTGTGGTTAGAATTAAACTATTATTGTCCAAACTAAAGTCGTCCCAAGAATCATTTACTACAGGTAAGATATTAAAATTAGTTTGGAACCTTTCCATAACCTCACTTAAAAAAAACCCTGAATCATCGCTTTAATCTTAGACAAAAATAATGAAATAAATAAAACAGACGTCTTTATTTCTATTCAATGACCTGTCATCTCCAAAACGGTTAAATAAACCAGTTGGATTCAATCAGAAACGCTAAAAAGATTAAATCAGCGTCATTTTGAATAACTTTGTATATTTTTTCTTCTAGACGGTGTCGTTCTTACCTGGATGGCTACGATAAGCACCAGGCGAGTTGTCCAGGATTACAATACTGGACAGGTCATCGTGAACTACCGACAGGTCTTTAATATAACTACCTAGATCCAACGTGCAATGCTGTCGACAACAACAACAAAAAGAGAACAAAGGTCACTTTCACCAACAAAAACAAAGAGTGTTGATCTTCACTCCGACTGCTCATATGCTCAGCCTCACCTGCCTGTAGTATCTGCGTTTCAGGATGTTCCTGTTGTTATCCAGCTTGTCTGCGACGGCCGAGCCGTAGATCTCCATGCTGGCTGTGAAAACCACCAGCTCGTACCACTGGCTCACCTGCGCACACACAGCGTTCAGGACACACAACACCAGCGCCGCAAGGCTTCTGGAGGTCTCCGCAGAGCAAATATTAGCTTTTACACTAGTCCCTCGCTACTTCGCAGTTCGACCTTCGCGGACTCGCTCTTTCGCTGTTTTTCAAAGTAAGAGTGGACACGAGGAAAAACATTGTACAGGACATGACTTTAATATTGCTCACGTGATTGGGACAGTACTGCATACTGTACAGTAAAAAGTTAACAAAAATAAAATACTTTGGACAGGCGCTGCCATTTTGTAGTTTTCTCTCAATAAGCCTAGCTCATAAGGACTATATTTCCCAGAAGCCAACAGGGCTCCACTCAGAAGCCTCGTTTCCTTCTGCTGAAATACGTAGAGGGAAAGTTTTGATATGATTGGAAAAAGTTAGATCATTATTCATACAGTTGTCACTTATTGCGGGGGTGTCCGGAATGTAACCCCAGCAATAAACGAGGGACTACTGTATTATTAAACTACGTGGTTTAACGGAACAGGAGGTGAGATGACTGAGATGTTTGTGTTTACGTTGAAAGACAAACTCACCACTTCTAAAAAGAAGTCGACGTGCGGCCTTTTATGTACAAAGAATCTGACAGGATGCTTATCGATGACGACCTGCAGGGAGAAGCAAACACACACACGGGTCGCGTTACACACACACACACAGCTTCTACCTTCACGTGTGGTGGCGTACGGTCCGACTTACTTTCAGGATAAAGTCTGGCGGCGTGCCAGGCCTCACTGTGGGCCTCAGGACCCCGTCGTGGTGAGAGTGGATCAAGGTCTCGTCCAAGTCCAGAACCAGAATCTTCCTCTTTACTGCATCTGGAGTTTATCGAACAAAACAGAACCCGATTATTGTTTTTATAAACATTTAGAAATGTGAACTACAATAAACGGACATGTATCCACATGTACCCTGTGGCTATCAAACTTTTCAACTCCTCCCCCTTTCTGCACATAGTTTACAACAATAAACATTTTAATGTTTTCACATTAAAACATTTCAAACATGTCTGCACCAGACCTGTTTAGATCTTAATTTCTGGTCATTTTTAATTCTCTGGTATTTTTTATATTCTGTTATTGTGTATATCTTGTGTGACTTCTTGTGTATGTTCCTTTGTACTGAAACTCTGGCACAACAATTTCCTGCGGGATCAATAAAGTTCCATCTTATCTTCTCAGAAACATCTCTTTAAAGCTGAAGAACTAAGATTTAAATGGACTGTACTTATTATAAACATCTTTCTATCTGATCAAGATACTCAAAGTACGTTACACTACAATCTGTGCCCCCATTTACGCACTCATACAGCACTCTACTATATATATATATATATATATATATATATATATATACACACACAAAGAATAATCAGTGCTTTATTATGTCTAGGCCTGTCACGATAACAAATTTTGCTGGATGATTAATTGTCTCAGAAATTATGGCAATAAACGATAATATTGTTTGAAATTTTACAATAATTAGTGAGAGTGTCAAATTTTATAAGAAATGTTGATTTTTTTTTTAGTGTAGTACCTTTTTTTGACCACCGGACGGCAGTATAAGTCTGTTTGAACCAAGTCTCTACGGAAAAATGGGAGGAGGCCCCTTGACATGACGTGGGCTGCCATGGCGACATGGCGGACACTTTGTGGTTTGAGCTCTTTAGCATAGAATTTTTCACACAAAGCTTTTAATAAAAAAATCAGTAAACAAGTTCTCAGCTTCTTTTTGAGAGAAACAACTTTTCACACGAAGGCACGGGTTTCAACTGTAAATTTTGGAGTTTCAACAAGACAGAGGTTTTTTCCCCGAGGTCATCTTGTTAGCTTAGCTTCTTAGCTTAGCTGCTTTTAACGATCCAAAAACACGATTTTGGATTGTTAAAATTGATTTTTAAGAGAAAAAAGAAAGGGAGGGGTCAGTGAAGATCACCAGAGTTGAACTTTTTGTCATCCAGTGTCTTCAGTAGAAAGAGAGACACATGAAGAAACGATAAAGCTGATAAATGAAAATGAGGTCGATAATTTTCATTTATTATACGATTAACTGATTTATTGTTTATTGCGACAGGCGTAATTATGTCACATCGCCAGTGTATGAATGTGTGTGGAGGTAAATGAGGGCACAGATTGTGTTGTAAAGAGCTTTGAGTGAAATAGTGAATCTATTCAGTACAGTCCATGTACTTAAAAAAATTTAAAAAAAGAAAATCACAAAACGATCTTTTAATCAGTGAGTTTCCAGGAGTTTTCCTTGATTTTAGAAGTTTTTCCTGAAATCTCCAGTTTCCCATTTGGCAGGTTTCCCCTGATTTTCAGAGCTGCTGAGAACCCCATTTTAATACGTCAGCAGTCCACTTTGGTTCTGGCCATGCTTGGATGATCGATCCAGTTAGAACTAAACCCTGTTTCTCCAAACTGAAGTAATTCAAAGAGCCATGTACAACAGGTAAGATATTAATCGTTCACAACATTTTTCCTGAAGTTGCTGAAGTGACAGTCGAGTAGAAGCGAAATCAGCTCTTCCTCCGAGTTAAGAGCGCTGCTGAATGAGCGCTCGCTGACGGAGGGGAAGTTCATTCAGAACCAACACACACCCCCACATCAGTCCACACTGTAGTCTCTTCTGTAAAACTGACCGTCTGTGTCACATCAGCAGGAAACTACAAATAACTTAAAATGACAAACTGTTTTAACAAGACTCCGACATCTACCTGCCTGCTCGCTCCTTACTTGGATATTTCAGCCGTTTATTTATCAGCACTTTAAAATCGTCAGCCACCGTTCAGTTCTCAGATGAGGTCACGCATGTTAAGAAACACCCGGGTCTGAACTGTGTCGTTTACAACTTTAAATGTTCATCCTGCATTCTCAAAACATAAACAGCCCAAACTCTCATTTCACATTTGTAGCTCTCATACGTTTTTAAAATTGTGTTCAACGTTAGCTTTTATTTTGTAGGACCAAAAACTTGATGAGGGAAAAAATAAAATAGTATTCAAGTCAGAGTGAATCTCCAGCGTGGTTCGAGTCCGTCGTACGATCCACGTTAAGGTTATATGACAAAAACACCGAAGCACTAATGAGCTGCTCTGAATCAACTCGCAATGACAGAAATAAACTGGTGGTTTTCTGCGCCGAGGTGAGGAAGTGGCACATGCGTTTGCTGACATGTTTATCTTAGGAGGGAAAAAAAATAAAAAGTATTTTCTGCAAAATAACTTCCCACTGGACAAACTGGTTTCACCTCTTCACAGTGGAAACGTGTTGCGATCGTGTCAGACAAAACAACTTTGACTTTTTCGTTGACGTTTTTAAATCTTTACAGGTTTTCAACGAGGCTCAAATGATTTACAGGCACAGTAAAAAGTTTATATCCACTCCTCGTGGGCATAAATGTCACTAATTGTAGGCTTTTATCGATTTATTGAATTTTTTATTTTTCCGGGATGGATTTTCTCTAACCAAGGCAAAAATTATACACGGACTCAAAAATATTGGTTCAAACACAAAATCTTTTAGTAAGTGGCGCTGAAGGTTTTAAGAGCATCTATTAAATCCTTATTAGTGATCATGACTGAATGCAGCAGGTTCAGTGTTTCCACTACCTTTATACAGGCAGGGCGCCCCACCCTGTCAACAGAACCGAGCGCTCTGCCTAACGAACACCCCCACGCCCCCCGGTCAAGATGTAGTGCAGGGCGCAATACAAACGCACTAGCAAACACACACACAAACACCACCGCTCGATAGAAACGGGCAGCCATGTAGTGCTAAGCTAGCAGACGGGCAACACAGACGTGACTCCGTCCTGTACTCCACCACCACCATCACTCCACATCATCGATAAAAACCGGCAACAATGAAGTGCTAAGCTAGCAGGTGGGCAACACCGACATGAATCCGTCCCGTACTCCACCACCATCAACACCCTCCCCGATAAAAACCGGCAGCAACGTAGCGCTAAGCTTGTAGGCGAGCAACACAGATGTGACTCCATCCCATACTCCATCACCATCACTTCCCATCATCGATAAAAACCGGCAGCAATGAAATGCTAAGCTAGCGGGCAGGCAACATAAACGTGACTCCGTCCTGTACTCCACCACCATCACTTCCCATCATCGATAAAAACCAGCAGCAATGAAATGCTAAGCTAGCAGGTGGGCACCACAGACATGACTCCGTCCCGTACTCCACCACCATCAACCCCCTCCCCGATACAAACCGACAGCAACATAGTGCCAAGCTAGCGGGCAGGCAACACAGATGTGATTCCGTCCCGTACTCCACCACCCCCACTCCCCATCATCAAAAAACCGGCAGCAATGAAGTGCTAAGCTAGCGGGCAGGCAACATAAACGTGACTACATCCCATACTCCACCACCACCCCCACTCCCCATCATCCATAAAAACCGGCAGCAATGAAGTGCTAAGCTAGCAGGTGGGCAACACAGACATGACTCCGTCCCGTACTCCACCACCATCAACCCCATCCCCGATAAAAACTGGCAGCAACGTAGCGCTAAGCTAGTAGGTGAGCAACACAGATGTGACTCCGTCTCATACTCCACCACCAACAACCCCACCATCAATAAAAACCGGCAGCAATGAAGTGCTAAGCTAGCGGGTAGGCAACATAGACGTGACTCTATTTCCATACTCCATCACCCCAACTTCCCATCATCGATCAAACAGGCAGCAACATAGCACCAAGCTAGCGGGCGGGCAACACAGACGTGACTCCGTCCTGTACTCCACCATCACCCCTACCACCACCACCATCAATAAAAACCGGCAGCAACTTAGCGCTAAGCTAGTAGGTGGGCAATACAGAAGTGACTCCGTCCCATACTCCACCACCAACACGTCAATAAAAATCAGCAGCAACGTAGCGCTAAGCTAGCGGGCAGGCAACACAGACGTGACTCTGTCTCCCCCACCCTCAATCAACAACAAAAAAATAAAATAAAACAGTACGACTAGCGCCCTGCCAAGTTGTTTCTCTATCAAGGCTCTCAGCATTTCATGAAAACAAACTTCCCTGATTTTTCCAGAGTAAATCCTGAAATTCCAGAATATATTTTAGTGACACGAAACGCTCAGAACTTTGCGTACTAGGTGTCGAGCAGTCGCATTCAAAGATGACAGGAAGTATCTGTAGCCTACGGTACGTGCATGGCAATCATCTCTAATAATTATATTGTTTAACATCAGACACTAAAAAGACACCACTGCAGAAGCAGAACATGGATTCAATGATACCAGAATACTAGCATTAATGCAAGAACATGTTAAACTCTCAGAAAGATCATCTTTAATCAGCAGATCAGGGTTCAAGTTCCCTGAGATTTCCCTGTCTGGGAACGTCACTTTCCAGGTTTTCCCTGATTTCCACAGTCGTTGGGAACCCTGTCTTTGCCAACAAAAAGAGGACGTTGTTTTAGGTTGGGATGTTTAGGATGAACCCAGGAACCACCAAAGCTAGTCTCCATGAACTGGAAAATACCGGAACACCAGTATCTACGTCCACAGTGAAGTGAGCTTTACGTCACCGTGGAACGAAACGGTGTCGACCAAGACAGAAGCTTCTGCTCCTTCAAACCCGACTGAAACTTTAAGCTGCTCACCTGGACCACCTGACCCAAATGCCCTCTAGTGAAAGTTTATGGTTAGAAGGCCAAAGGCTGAACTGTTCGGCTATAATAAGTAGCCTGCATGGTGGTGGTAGCATCACGACGTGGGATGTTTTACAGCCATTCTTGTTGAATGGAATAATAAAGAAGGTCTAACTTCACCTCGACTCAGCAGCTTCCCAAACCCCCAACCTCAACCGTGTTATAAATGAGTAAACCTTGCTTTTGTTAAAAAAAAAAGGGGTCTGTGCCGGGAACACTTTGAAATAACTTGTTCGGTTAACAGAATTAAATGCGTTTCAAAACGCCTGTTTGATGTTTTAAATTGTAAATAAAACTAATAATAAATTAACTGAGCTCGTTCCAATCAGTGGTCCACAATATACTTATAAAACCAGAAAAAAAACATCTAATCTACGCCAAAAATAGAAGACTTAAAATCACTAACCGAACCTTTTCTGGGAGGGGTTCACAGATTTGGAACGAGCTTGACGAGAGTTTAAAAGGTTTGAAATTCATCTCCACCTTCAAAAACAGTTAAAGACCAAATTGCTTTGTTTATATACTTGAGATCACTTGTAGGAACTGTAACTGATTGATCAGAAGTAACAATCTGTACTGTATGTGAAATTTTTACAATGTATGTTTTTATTGTGTTATTTTAATGTTAATAAACTGTATGTAATTATATGCACTCAGGCTCCCTCTATAAGCTTTAAATAGCTTTTCGCAGCCCTGATTCTTGCAGTTATGTAGCATGTTTTATGATTCTTTCAGTGTGTGTGAATAAACTAACGAGTGTATGTAAATTTTTGAGTGGAGCTGTAGCAGAGCAGCTGTTGTGAAAACAACCAGGTACTCACTGAGTCTGTTTCTGGAGATAGGCGACAGGGGCAGAATGTCGTATCGCACCGTCTGATACTGGATTATCTGGAAAAGAAGGAGGCAGGTGAGCCGGACAGTCCTCAACCAGAACAGCAAGTACAGAACAGAACATTTAAAATAAAAACCAGAACAGGACTTCACACACAAGTGAACAAAAACCTCCCACTTTTATTCTCTGCTGGGAACTGAAAGTGTTGACCCTTTTCAACGAGGATCCTTCTGAGCGCTACTCTCGCCCAAGGGGAGGGGTCTGCTCTTTTCCTCACAGGGCTATTTTGAATCCCCCCCCCCAGCTGTCGGTCAGTGTCAGCGGAGCGTGGGCCACCAGCAGCAGAAAGGAGTGACGCTGACGGAGCTGCTTGTCCTACAGCTGCAGGGAGACCTCACCCCCAAAGCTGCCTGCATTAACGGCGTCCATCTGGACCCCAGACCTGCAAACTCCAGAGCTTCACCTTCACTTTAAACCTTCAATCAACGCGATCAAACATTTCTATTAGTAATCAGGTTTAATGGTGCTAAGCAGGAGTCATTTGAGCCCAGGAACACCCCCATCAAACGAAAGCACAGCGATAAATTATTGACGAAGAGCTGAAAGCAACACGTTCGAGTCGACGTATTCTGACAGTTTGATGAAAGAGACAGTTCAGATCTTTCATAGCCGGGTTCTGGGCAAAGCTTCTGAACAATCCACGTGTCCATGGACAACTTTGTTGACCTTCTATGCATAAATGTATTATGATGTCATTGTATGTTGCTGTTAATGTTGCAAGGTCCTTTTTTGCATCCGTTACACTGTGACCAGGACATGGTGTGAGACATGATGTTTAACTTCCTCCACCCTCGTGTTCTCGTCCTCATCTACTCTGTATGTTGCATGTAACAGGTCTCTTGTAAATGAGTCCCTGAGGCTCAATGGGAACAAACCTGTATAAATAAAGAATGAATGAATGAAAATCACTGTTACAGGAAAACACTCTAAATGATGTTTGCCCAAATGAACCACTCACACACGACGGGCGAAGATTTATCTCCAGCACAATTTTACTTGCAGCGCAGATATCGGAACAGTTCCCATCTATATTCTGTATGCATTAATTGAATACAGCAGTCCCTCGCGGTTCAACTTTTGCGGACTCGCTCTTTCGTGGTTTTTCAGCGGTTGTCAACTTTAATATTACTCACGCGATTGGGATGGTACGGGATTAAAAGTTAACGAAAAAAATACTTTGGACAGGTGGCGCCGTTTTGTAGTTTTCTTTCAATAAGCCTACACTTTATCACCAGTCAAAAGAACTACACTACCCAGAAGCCAACAGTGCTTCCGGCCGCCGCTGCTTTCTGCCAAAATGGAGGAGTTTTGCAACGCAAATCTACGATATCTATGAAGCTCACAGGACTGGCAGGAAAGTTGCAAATAATCCTGAAGCTCAATTATCCACGTGCACATCAACCTGGACGGGGTGGTGGACTTCATCGCGGCACTGGAACCGCGCCCGACCAGAACCGAGCTGCTGTTCTGCAGAGCTGGTGAGTAAAATTTTGCTGTACTGTACAGTACATATACATATGTTGTTAAAATGATGTAGGTTTTAGAGTTTAGAACATTGCAAACATGTGGGAAAGGTTTATAAAGCCCTTATATATATATATATATATATATACTAAAACAAATATAACGTTGCTACTTTGTGGTTTTTCACCCATCGCTGGAACGTAACCCCCACAATAATCGAGGGACTACTGTCAGCCCGGTCACAATGATCTGCAAATGCTGTATTATCCGCTCGCTTTTTATACCCGTAGCAGCTTGAGAAGGTTTCCGTGGGTGTCCTGAAGCCCACTGTAGTCTCACGTGGCCTTGAGTTCTCGAGCAGCATGAGAGTATTTGGAGAGACAACTTGGTTGTTTGTTTTAAGGGAAAGAACATTCGTAATAATGTATCTATAACTCCATAAACTCTGACCACAATCCTCTGACAATCACCTGCAGTATTTATTTTTGAACCATCTCAGTTTGGAGAAAAAGACTTTCATTTTGACTGGACCGATGAGTTAACAGCTAGCCCAAGTGGAACCAAGTCCAAAGTGGACTGCTGTTGAAAAAATTAAATTATACAAATGCTATTTTATTAAACTTCACTGTCAATTTTCATTATACAGTTATTTACACAGAAGTATACGGTTATTTTCAAGAGCAAATACCAACAGCAGCTAGCTGTAACGCGTCCTGAAGCTATTCCAGCAGAATTAATCTTAGATTAAAGCCTTCGTACACAAAGACGTCGATCAGCCAACCGTCGATAAATTTGCACTAACACATGATTTAATGACGGAACAGCTAGCTGCATCAGCAGCTAGTAGAAAGTAGCCTCAATCGGCTCGAGACAGTGGGTTCGAACATCTGACTGTATAAAATAAAATACAAATTCAGAACGCAAGAAAGAAGTCTGCGCATGACTCAATGTAAAACTTTTGCCAGACAGAAAAGACCCGCGAGAAATAAAAATACATTTGAGATTAAATAGTCCTGCCCCAACAAATTTTAAGATATTTGAGTAACATATTTAAGATCAACTTACAATTTTTTTTCTTATGAATCCAAGACATTAAAACTTTTTAAGGATGGGTGGACACAACTAGAGAAATTACATTTCCTGCTAAAATGCAATGTGAATGCTTATTACAGAAGAACTTGCTGAAAAACGGCTGAAATTAGCTAAAAACATGCTGAAATGTAGCTAAAACTGAAGAACAAGCTTAAATTAACAGGGGAGGAAACATGTTTGCTGAATTATGTTTAAATAAGCAGAAATTAGCACAAAAAAATGCTTGAATTAGTAAAAAAACAAACAAAAAAAAGCTTAAAAGTACATTAAAAAAAAAAAGCAGAAAAAAGCTTAAAATACCATAATCAAGTCTAGAGAGCACAATTATGCTCAATTAGGCTGAAAAATGCTTAAATGAGTGCAAAAAATGTGGAATTAGCTGAATATGATAAAGTTAGCATAACAACAGCTAAATGGTATCTGAAATAGCAAAAAAAAAAAAAAAAACACTGAAAGGAGCATAAGCTGAAATTTGCTGAAAGTAGCAGAAATCACCAGTAAAAAAAAAATTGATTTTTTTTTAAAACAGCTGAAATAAGCTACAAAAATGCTAAAACAGCTGAAGAGGTAGAACAAGCTGAAATTAACAGAAGAAAGCAGAAAGAACACGTTTGCCCAATTAGGTTGAAAGAAGCTGATATGAGCACAAAAAGTGGAAATCATCTGATAAATCTCAAATTAGAAAAAAACAGCTGAAAAGTAGCTAAAAAAGCAGAAATAAGCTTAAACTACCAGAAACAAGTGGAGTGAGCACATTTTTGCTGAAATGGACTGAAAAAAGTTTAAGTGCAGAAAAATTGGAATTAGCTGAAAAGGCTAAAATTAGCATAGAAGCAGCTAAATATTAGCTGAAATAGCAGAAAATGCTTAAACTTGAAGCTGAAAGGAGCATAATAAGCTGAAATTAACAGAAAGAAATTAGAAGAAGCACAAAAATGTTGTAGTTAACAGAAAGAATCTAAAAGGATCACAAAACAGCTAAAAAAAAACAGCTGAAAGTAGCTGAAAAAAAGTTTAAATTTGCACAAGGAAGCTGAAAGAAGCTGAACCAGAACAAAATGTGAAAGGAGCAGTAAAAGGTTGTAAACACATCTAAAGAGTTGAAGGATGTAAAACAAGCTCAATTCATTTTCTCTGAGGAAAAAGTGGCAGAAAAGGCTAAATATTTCAAAAAGCTAAAGATGCAGCAATGCCAAAAGTTATAGCACCCTTCTCCTGAAAGAGATGAACGTTTTGATATATGAATTGTTCAAATGGGACAAACGTTGTGGAACGAGAAAGATGCAGAAAAAAGTACGAAAGAAAAATGGGTCACAATAGTGTGAATGCTTCATAAACATTCACACTATTGAAAAAACCAGTCCAACCCCCCCCCAAAAAAAAATAATTTCTTTATATTGAGACCATCAAGGAGACATTTACAACAGGTAAGACATAAACAATGCATTATATCTCCACAGGAGCCTGTTTCTAGGTGTGGGACTGTTTAGGCACATTATCAATCTGTTACAAATAAAACAATATCGATTCAGTTATCTTGAAACCTTTTATTACATAGATAAGCACCGTTTTATACTTTCATGTCTAATAAAGAGTGCACAACAACAAGTCAAAAACCTCCATAAAGTACAGGCTGTGACCAACACGAGCCTAACGGACGTCAAATTAACATTGAAAACATGAACAAAAAGCTAACACGATTAGCATCGTTCATTACTAGACATTTACACACAGATCGAGCATTTAAAGTCATTACTGCTGACAGTCATGTTGTGATAACGTCAGTCATTATTCAGAGAAACAACACATTTATTCCTTCAGTGTAAAAAGATAAGCTGTGAAAACACGCAGCTTTACTGCAGCATGTTTCTACTACAGGAAGCTACGGTATCTCCACTGGGACAAACGGTGCAAAGCAGCTGACTCCGAAAGAACAAAATCCATTTCTGACATTTCAGAATCAATTCAGATTCTTCCATGTCCGCAAAGTTTCTAAATATAGATTTTTTTTCCTCCCACTCTACATATTTCAAAACATCTCATCAAAGTAAAACACTAAGAATTGTATTTTCTATGACATAAGTGGAAGAAAAGTATAAATATGAATCATCTTTTCTCAACTGAGAAGCCGACAGAGCATCTCAGGAAGGATCTGACTAAAAATGATGGATTTTATTTTGTTTTCCTATTTACTATAACCAATCATTTCAAGTGTAGTTCGGAGTTTGCATCGATCCGCTGATAGTTTATGCCTGGATACATATTTAACAATATGCGCTGCCAAATAAACATGAAAAATAACCGTCCACGATTATTTAATCATTTGTTGACAGTACAGTCAGTGTATGGGATTAAGATCAGCGTCCAGTGCTCATTAATCCACTAAATCTTTTAGTTTTCTCAACATAAATATTTATTTTTATCATACTCCACACCTTTA